ATACACAGTAGTGATTGTTTCCCTTTTTATTGAGGAAAAGCTCAGTAAATTTAAAAAATTGCTTTGCTGTCTCATATCCTTCTAGGAACCAGTCCTTCTAAATCCTGTTTCATTTAAAATTAATTAATTGACACCTCCAGAACTAAATGGTGTATGTGCAAGAGAGCTAGCACTTAATCAAAAGCTAGGAACACTATTATATCATTTTTGCACATGAATTCTGTAGTGTTAGAAGAAAAAGTGAAGGTGAGTTAGGCCTAACAAATGACTTGGATGCAGGGAGAGTAATTTTATCAATATTTGAGAGGCTGAGGAAGAAAGAAAGAAAAGTATCTTGTCTGTGTGTGCATGTACACATATAGAATGAATGAAAGGAATAAGAACAGGAGTAGGAGAATGTGTTCATAAAAACCTTTAATTTGAGGCTAACATGTATGTTCATCGCGTGAGGGCACTCTGCTTCCAAGTCAGAAATGAAATAGGTTTATTTTATGAGTAACAGTTAAATGTTCAAGTAGGCAATTAAGTATCTTACTGAGGCCATTTTGGGATACCAAACATTTTGAAGATTATGTAGTTCCTCATAGTCCATGTTGAGTGTACCTCTGAGTAAAATACTTGGTTCTCTTTAGTTACTCATTTATGAAAAATACCTTAAAGGCAAGGAAGAGGATATTTTTGATAATGCGCATCTTAAAGTTTTCATTAAACTACCAAATTTAAATTATAACTTTTTGTGCACTCTGACATTTTTGTCTGGCATTTTCATTAATTTTGCAACATACATAGCCGAAATGTTAACTGATCAATACTTTGTCTCTCTCCTGTAGCACTAGAGCAAAGCTCCCTAAGGACCACGGAGCAGTACAGAAATTAAATGTGTATCAAAAGCTACCGTTAAACACAGCAGTACTTACTGTATAATGACTGAAATGGTTAGAAGAATTCCAAATGGACAGATGTTAGCAGAAAATTATTTACAATCCCATTTCAAGATTAAAGTTTGTCCCATAAAATAATTCACTGACTCATACTGCAGTGTGTCCTTTTACTGACAGCCCCATTGTCCAATTATTTTTCTGCTCATTACAGTGAGAATTGCTAGTATTGGAAAAAAAGTATACACATCTTTTCCCCCTCATGTTGCACCCACTCACATCTATAAGAACAGAAATGTCTGGTTGAGAAGCTGATGGAAATTAGGCCAAACTTAGCAGATATTTCAGTGCCCACAGTGGATTAATCTCAAGAAAAAACATCCACTTTTGCATAATTTACTAAAGTTCTTCCTCCTGAAGTGTACCATATTAATTACCAAATGGTAATAAAAAAAATTAACTGCTACATACTGCAAAGGTCTGTTTTAAACAGAGAAAAATATGTGATTTTATAGCAAATTGTCTCTATAGTCTGGATTTCCTATTGTATTTAGGTCTTAAGAAGCATGAATATAAGTACATTACACATTCTTGATCAGCCTAGATATGTGATATAATAAAGCTGTTCTGAAACTCAAATATTAAGTTAATATTGTTGCTATGCACTGCCTTTATTTAATAGGAAAAAAAATATAAAAAAGCAGGAGAGAATATAGAATTTTCTAATTGCTCTAATATAAAGTCATATGCTAACCAGATCAACCTATGGTTCATGAGATATTTATTAATATCTTTAAGTATCTGAAAAGTAACAGCTATTAATACATCACAGTTATATCAGCGTGACAGTTATATATATATATATATATATATATATATATAAAATGTTTCTTCTTCTGCTAATTACCAAAGCATAAAAAAAAAGAAATGGAGTGAAAACTCTCCGTTATTCAGACAAAATCCCCAGTGAAGTTGATGAGCTTATGAAGTTTAATAGAAACAGGTAAAATAATGTTTAGTTGAGGAAATGCATAATCTAGAACATTGAAAACATAACTTGAAGTTTCTGTTATGTCTATGAACAGCACAGGCAACACTGATGCCTTTGGACAGATTTTGGGAAGAATAATCCTAAAACATCAATGCAGCATTTCTGTACCTAAAATATCCCAAATAATGGAAAAGTTTGAGACAGATAAACTCAGGAGTATAAATAATCAGCAAGCCCTTTCAATGAACATTGTTAGCCTTGGTGACTAACAGTGTGACTCTCCAAGGAGAATGACTTTAAAAAGAACTGCAGTGAAGAGTGCACAAGGCATATGAAGCAGGTAACTGTAACTTGTTATAGTTAACATATTAATCAAAGTTTTCTGTAGGTTTCCAAGAGCAGTTCTCCTTTCCTGATCTATCTTATAAATTACATTTTCGAAAACTGAGCTATTCTGCCAGAATTTCTTCACCTGTGGTTCCTCAAATTCCCACCAGAAAGAATGGTAAAAAAGTATCCATACATGGTACAAAAGTAACCATAATTGTAATGCCAAGAACGCAGGGCATTGGGAGATACAAAAAATCAACGCTTACACATGCAACCTAGGTGAAATGACTAACTCTGTATCATGATGCACTCATCACAGTATATTTTCAAATCCAACGGGATGAAGAACTGGTTAGTTTAAAGCTTTACTTTTCATATGTTTTTTCTTAGTCTGGCTAAAGAGCTGGAAACCTCCAGACCATTTCTCATCTTGTTTCTGGGACTGACATTTCACTGTGAGATTTTCTAGCCCCTAGAAGACAACTTCATAAGAAGGTATAATTTGTGTAATAGTGAAGAGAAAATGAAACATATACGTACATTTATTTTATACATTCTATTAAATTCAAATGTAACCTTAGTGCAAGTATAATTCATCATAACACAAGCAAGTGGATCACTCTCGAGATTTCAACAGCCTATGAAAGTCCAGAAACCATCTAAACCCAAAGCTTATAATCATGATAAAAATTCACATATATTTGACTTGGCCAGCAAAGACTTCTTTTGCCTGATAGAGGAATGATTTGATCCTTGGAGAGGATAACATCAGGTCAAAAAGCACAGAATGCATTTTGGATGCAGAACTGGAATACATCTGTACAATCACAGCACTGATATAATCATAAAAATTTACTGCAACACTTACATAAGCAAAAAAAAAAAATACTGTAAGAAAACCAAGAAAACATATATATAT